TTTATTAGATGATTTCTGATATTTTCAAAATAAGTTCTACCAATTCCTAACATATTGAGATAAGTTTCTTGACAAAGAAGTGTATTGTGACCCCAGTGATAGAAGGTTCTTTTATTAGATCTGGTTTTCTTTTTAAGGCATCTGCTAGTGCTTATAGATCCACCATCCATTGCTTTAAGTTGGGTTATTAAAAATATGTCTTGTTCAGACTTGGAAAGAGCTTGAAAGGATTCCGTTAACCCTGCAAATTGTTCTTTGGGAACCATTGAAGAACAACCACATTTACAGCCTTTTTCTAAAAAATCAATGACTTTTTGATATTCATTAGAACCATTATGATTATTATTTTCATTATTACTTTTCATATACACCTATCCCTATATATATAATTTTATGTTCACTTTGTATGTTTTTCTAGGATTGTTTAATAATTTAGCATTAAAAATGGATGAAAAATCTGTCCAGTTTATCATGAAATGCTTGTCAATCTTGACCAAAGAAATACAAAGAAGGAAATTGTTTGCATAAAAAACTTCAACTGTTCTTATATATATGTATATTATCTTTAGTTTTACAAATATATTCAAAGTTTTAATTGAATTAATTATTGGTACGTATATATATTTAAAAAGGGAAAAAATTAGAATATCATTAATGATGATCTTATATTTTTAATTGGAAATCCAATACTATAATAGATAAACAAATAAATTTAAATAGAATTATTTGTTAATTTGCAAATATATCCAATTTATCTAATTTATTTTAAAAAAATAAACATTTAATTAAAAAGATTTTTTTTTATATTACATTCTAAAATAAATTCTGTATGCCATATAGTTTTTTGATTTCAAATTTCATCCTACTCCATTTTTTTGAAATCCCTTCATTGGTTCTTCTATTTAAACCAGAGCAACGAAGGTCATTGCATGATATTTTTCTGCTAAAAACGTATTTTAGTAGTATTGCAACTTCTTCATTGGTCCAGGTCCATCTTGCACCTGAGACTACATGTATTATGCTCCCTTCCAATGAGCTCAATTCTTCCTCCTCCACACCATTATCATTATTACCACTGTCATTATTACCCTCTTCTTCATTTATATCATTATCATTTTGTTCCACTATCAAATTATTATTATCATCTGTTACCATTAGATGATGATTATTGACATCGTTATCATCATCGCTATTGCTGTCATCTTTGTCACCTTTGTCATCATCATCATCGCTATTGCTGTCATCTTTGTCACCTTTGTCATCATCATCATCATTCTTTTCCTTTTCCTCTTCATTAGTTTCATAGACCTCTTTCAACAAATTATATATTTCATTTGGTTGAAGTGGTGATGCATTAACTTCAACGGAATCTTTAATTATGTTATAAAGTGCACGAAGGTTAATTAAGTCGGAAATATCGGAAATATCAACACTGTTAAATTAAAATGATTAAGTAGTTATAATGATTAATTCCAAACTTATATATTAACTAGAGTGACAACAAGTGGTGGCGAGTGGTGGTAATAACCACCACCACCCTTAAAAACACTTACCCAGCTACTTCATCCCAGTTATTTTGGGTACTTCTTTTTCTTGTTGTGAAAGACATTTTGTTTAAAGTTTGTGTGATCGATGCATACACATTAATTATTCATATCCACCGATTTCTGCAATGTTACACGATTTCAGGCTGATTTTGGGGCACATTTTCGTTGTTTTTGTTTTGTTT